TGACACTAGACTATAGTTCCGAATTCAATATCAAGACTCAGCTTGTTTTATTTATTTTTCTTCATGAAAATGCGGAATAATAATTGAAAACAATGTAATTTTAATACATTTCATTATTACATACTTTCTTTTTTTAACAGTTAAAATTCTATGAATGTAAATAATATTAAGTACTTTAACATTATACTACGATATCACGATTCGGAACATCAAAAAAGAAAGAGATGGCATTATACAGTTTATATAGCGTTGTTTCTTTTCTATTTTTAGTAAGGAATAGACAATATTGGGAAATCATTCGTTCTTTCAGTCATTTTAGCAATAAATACTAATTTCTAGGTAGACAAGTTTGTCATGGTACGAATATGTAAGGTAATATTATATTATGTTTACTTTAAGCTTACATTGAAATAAGATTGTTTTTGGAAAGTTTTTGGTAGGCCCCCAGCAGTTTTAAGAAAATTAGCAGACTTGGGGTTGTTTTATTATGGCTGGCATTAAAATTGAGAAATTCGGACAAACATTTTTCACTTTCCCGTACGTTTATTGAAATAAAAGAAATGTGTCCTATTTCTATAACGGTTTTTACTACTTGAAAAATTTTATACAGTAATCATTTAACTTACAAGGGAAGTCAAAGAAGTATCAGACGAATTTCAAGTTAACAAAAAACTCGTCTATATTTGAACCTACCACTTCACTGTTATGCAATACGAATCATCACGTTTAAATGACTGAATATTGTCGTCCTAGAGTGAAAGCCTCGTATGTGATTTCTATGTAGCGTCGAGTAATGGAAAAATGTCCATTTTGAAAAGTTACCTATTTTTCCGAATGTTTTTCCTATAAATTGCTAGATTTGATTACCATTATACGTTCTTATTTTTGCTTTTAGCTATACAATTTTGTTTTATAATTCACGCTACATATAACGTCAAGAGATATATCTAAACGTAGAAGATAATAAGCGCCTTCAAATTATACTATATTTCAAACATTTCAGATTTTTTTTCCGGAAAATTACTAAACAGTATATTTATGTAATATTCGGAAGATAGAAGTGTAGTTTAAAATATAGTTAACACAATAATTTTTGTAGTTAGCGGTATAATTAGTTAAGTTATACCTCTTTCAGATGTTAATCACAGAATAATATATACAGTATAGGATATAAGTGCTTCTATGAACGTCTAATTTGGAAGCACCTTAAGCCGACAATATGGAGTGTCATTCTTACCTAGTCGTAACGGGGGCTGTACAAAAGTCAAACACGTTTTTATAACTCTTGAAGATGCAGCGTGTCTCATTACCTGGCTGTATTAAGAAAAGCGATATGATGGTACATCTTAATATAACTCGTGATAATACGTATTGCATTAACCTCTTTCTAGTTGTCTCTTGGCTAGTGTAGGCCATGAAGGCGTTATTTTGTACACTACAGTTAACTGTTTCCATAACAAACCTGATATAAAATAGACCACATGCACCATTTCACATCTTAGGGAGAAAATGTCTTACCGACTTGGCCTTTTAAATTTCTACCAATTATCTGCCAAATTTTTGTCAGAGTTGATATTTAAGTAATTATTTCTTCTAATTGTCTACCAATAAGTAATCGAGTGGTGTAAATGACAACACAGATTCGGAAAGACAGAATAATTTGATTTTTTTACATGCTTATTGCTCAATTTGCATTGTTTTAGTAGATTGCAACTTGTTCAACTCGTAAAAACCTACTCGCATACCATAATGCCTGTCTCCCTCTGGGTACAAAGTCCTTCCTATAGTGAGGTTTATAGATAATAATTTTAATCACCTTAATACAAATGACTCATGAGTAGTCATTGAATTTGGGGATATGGTATTTTTTTGGGTCAATCCCACCTAGCGACAAACTTCGGAACTACATTAACCAGCGTTCAAAAGAAAAGACAAAAGCTATTTATTATGTAATACTAATTATTTTAACAAACATTTGTCTAATAATAAACTTTAATTTTTTTTGAATTTATTTATTTTGGTTTGTACGGATAATTTGTCGCTACATAATTTCACACTGTACACATGTTTGGCTAAGAGATTTTTCAAAAAACAATTAAAAAAATATATTTTTACAAGTTTTTTATAAATAAGCTTCCGTTTGTCCATAATCTCATTTGATGGTAAGTGAAGATGAAAACGAAGATGGTACTCAAAACCTGGTGTACCGCATAATAAACGCAAAAGAATTTAGCCCTAATACCACGTATTCTTTTAGAGAATCGAATTAATCACCAAGATGCCATTTAAAGCACTCCCCTAAATACTAAAACAGTGTTAATAGGGCATAAAGAATAAAGGACGGTTTTATATAAATACCAGTGTTTTGTGGCCTATATCATGTTTGTTATGAAAACAACTTGAAAGTCTTAGCAAATTGTATATTATTATTTTTAGAATATACGTTAGAAGTATAAAAGTCAGTGTTAATTAATATCATATCCAAGTTGTTATGATTATGAGTCATAAAAAAAATATGAATATTATAAATAGACAATTGTCTTGGTGTCTGTTTATTTGGAAACAATAAATGGTTATGTTTAACAATGTAGTTTGGTGGTTTTTTGGTTTTTTTTTTTTCAGGAAGATTAAGGGTGCAATCAATACCCTGGCGAAATTTTCCTCAGTTCTCAGCATTCGGATGGCGTGTCTTATTCCAGCGTGGCTACATTTTATGATGCTCACATTAATGCCTGACGGCAGAAAGCAAGGTGGCAGTACTTCTCTGGACGAATTCTTTCATAAGGACCTTTTTTTACAAGGATCAGCTGCTGTGATGGGGCAGTCGCGCCACTACTAACTTTTATACATCTAGTCTGCCAAAGTGGCGCTTTTATAAGTCTAGTTTGAAGGCGGCCTTACACCAGAATCGGGCACGATCCTTCTGCAGATCTCTACGTTTTATAATTTTTAAATTAAACAAAACGAAGTAAACTGTACATTTTATTTGAATTATAAATTAAATAATTATTTTACATAATCATAAGTTATTAATAAATAATAACTAGAAAACAGTAAGTACCCAAATACTGGTTATTTTGGTCAGAGTAAAGAAAACGAATTTATAAGTTTTTTATTAAAAAAAAGAGTTCATATCAGTTCGTAATTTGTTCAAAAGATGGCGGTGTACCTTTACGTTTTCGACAATATTCGCGAGTTCGTGGTAGTTCATAATTTGTTCAAAAGATGGCGGTGTGTCTTTTTAAAATGTGTTTGGGAACTTAATATCTTGTATTTTAACCTATAATCGTATCAATTCATTAAGTTCACAACTGGTCACAGTTTAGATTAGATTTTGTTTCTATTTTGCATAATATCTCGTTTTCTTTATTCCGTAACTTAAAATCTAAAAGGTTATTAGCATAAATAATAGTATAAAAACATAAATTAAATATACAAAAAATTTAACGCTCATCCTGTAGTTCAAGAAAGATCTAGAAATTAGATCGAACGAACTACGGAAAAGCCTCAAATTTGTCGAAAGATGGCGCTGTTTTTGTTTCGTTTCTCTTTTGTTTCAGGTGGAATAAAATTTTATGGAGTATATCTGAATAAATCGCAATTTTGACACTTTCAAATGTAGAAGTAATGCGATGTGGTAATGCCCCCGCCGGGAGGAACTTTTTAACATAAATATTTTTAAGTACCTGGAACTGTGGTACCAGGTAGGTACCATTATGATAAGGTCTTTTTTTTTTTTTAAATATAACTTTCTTTGAATACCTCGTATGTATTTTCTCAGGATGTGAAAACATTCGAGACATCGGCATCTGATTTTCTTTACAATAAAACTAAATAAAATAACCGATTACAGGGGGTGGTAGATCTCGATTCATGGATCCATATACGTTAATAACTCAATTTAATATATATTGAGATGTTAAGATTTTTTAAATACAACCATATTTTGTTATTATAAATCCTAAATAATTTACCTACCATGTGACGGGACGAACAAGTCGTGCGTTTGATGGAAAGCGACACGCCTGTTTATAACAGTTGCAGTGCCCCGCCACTGAGACAAGTTGACAAGTCCCATGTGCCTGTAATCTCACCAGCACCTTTATTCAACGTCGGGACCCAGTAATGCTTACATTACGCCTTGGCGGCAGAAATAGGTAAGGCAGAATTTCCCTGAACGAACTCTCACAAGGAACTCGACTTCTACGAACCATATATGTTACATAATATATTATTACTGGTTGTAACATGATTTTTCTTGTGCGTACTTGCTTTTATATTTTTAGGATGTAGGATTTACATCTTATACACATACAATTTTTAGTTAAAAAAAACGGACTCGTAAAATGTAACTTTTCAGGTAACGAAATGTAATTTTCGACTCAAGTGCTCTGGCAACACTGCTTTTATTACAATACAGTATCCATTAATCTAATTTTGACTACAAATTCGATTGTTTTTATTAAAATAAACCCATAAAATTCTAATCTTCCTATTAAATACACTTACATAAATTCGAAAAAAATTTACAGATGGCATGTTATGTTTTATACCAACATGGCTCCAGTGGGCACAAAACGATTTTTCACAAATCACCTATCTAATAGCTGACAAGTAGCTTAGGAGACCTCGAAATCGATCCTGATTATTCACTTTTGACATAAATTAAACATCATCGAGTATATTACCTGAAATAGAGACGAAATGTCATTTAATTTGTTTGAAAATTATTCTGCCAAATTATTACGGTGACAACTGCGCTCCCGAATTGCCAGCCCGAATTGTTTCACTTGAAATCGACCAGTTTAACTTGAGCTTTGCTATAATGGACGAAAATTGAAATATTACATATTTCATTACCGATGAAATGTGATTCGGTATGTTTTATAATTTATTGTTTTGCTGGTTTTCCCACACCACCGATTGGAACAGCCTCCCGTTGTTAGAGATATTATCTTTATTGTAATAAATACAGAATATTTTTGGAATATTCATTATAGTCGGTTCTTGGCGCTGTACTATTTCAGCTTTCTAATCTTTACCTGATGAGTTACCAGGGATGGATGGCCCTTATTTCGACTTTATTTCTGGTTATATGTCTAACATATACAAAGAAAAAATCCTTAGATTCAGCTGAGCGGTAGCCCCGGTTTGGCGAAAAAGTAGCTAGTCCAGCTGGATCGAAAGAATTTTCTTTGTGTTGTTCGGTTTTTGGATCAATAATAACAATTTTCACAAAAATCGTAAAAACACCATGATATTCAATAAAATAAATATTAATAAAGGAATTGAGTTTTTTAAAATTCCGCAAGATGGCGTGATTTCAAATTCAAGCTATCAGCTCTTAGAAACTTGTCAAATTTTAACATTACATAGTATATTTTGATTTTATAACAGTGTCTACAGTCTTTAAATTACCCGACTACGTCAAAGAGGATTATGATTTTATCAGTCTACGTATTTTCTACCCACTGGTCAATCAACAGACTAGATTCCTAACCTAAAAAGGTTCACTGTTTCTTTTTTAGTTTCTCGCCAAACTCAGGGCTGTAGTTCTCGATGTTTTCACTTATACTTGTTGCCACCGATATTTCTGTTACTGGTTCTTTTTCTTCATTTTTCTCATCAAAATATATAGCTACATCATCGTTGTTTTGTACGTCATCGATTGTATTTTGTGGTGCAGGCAACACACTAATATGTCGTATGGAATGTTCGGCCTTTAAGTCGCATTCAGTTTGAGGTATGTCACCTCTGTGTTGTTGATGTGTGATTTCATTATGCAGCATTAGTTTAATATTCTGATTTGTGCTTTGAATTTCTTGATCCACATTTGCCTTTTGTTCATTATATTCTACTGGTTTTACAGTTTGTATATTACTACCCTGTTTCGTTCTATCTATAGGCTCATAACCAGCTGGTAGAATAAGTCCACCATTGTCTAAACCTTGATAATTTGGTTTAATTTGAACAGGACGTTGCAAGGCCTGGTTGTGATTTGGTATCCGGCCAGTATCATGATAATTTGGCGTATGAATTTGAACTCTCTGTTGATTTTGATTAGGTTGTTCTATTGCCTGTAATATGCTCTGTAATAGACCTTCAGATAATAACTGCGCGTGAGGTATTGTTGGGCTATCCTTGCTTGGACCATCGGCAGATTGAATCTGCAATGAATAACTTCCTTGTTTTCCTTTAACTGGTATATTTTCATAATTACCTTGGCTGTTAACGTTGTTTAGATTTTGATTTGTGGATACGATCTTTTGTTGCAACTCCTTAGTCTCTTCGCTTAAACTCTTGATTCTCTCTGAAGTCTTCAAAATCTGATTGGTGACTTGTTGTAATTTATCATCTTTATAAATATTTTTCGATCCATCTTTTAACGATTTACTTTTTTGTACACTTGATTTCTCTGTTTTTTCCAATTTAATATCGTTAGGTACAATCGTTTGCACAAAGGTGTGTGATGCGGTTGCTAAATCTTTGGAATTGTAGGAAACTGAATCGCTGCCAGGTACAGGGGTGTTGAAGCCGTTTTGTGGTGAAATCAATGTTTGTTGACTCTTTGACAATGTAGACCCTAGAGAGCTTAAACTTGCTACATAACTTGATGCCAGATCAGACGGTATTTTATCGCCATATGTTGCCGCTTTCAGAATAGCTTCGTGGTACGGACAGTGTTTCAAGATTGCTGCTGCTTCCAAATTCGATAGATTGGCCAGAATATTTCCGTCTAAAGTTGCTCTAATTTCGTTGACACTAGACGCTGAGCCAGTATGATCAACCGTGAACAAAGGTACTGAATAGGAATCAACTGGTGATCCATATGAACTGCTAGGTTGCTGGTGCTGGTTATGGAAATTTAAAGGATTTCCCGAATGTGGAAGACTGTACAGATTAGAAGGTTCTATTGATAAGGACAAACTTTCAATTCCGGGGTTTCCAATGTTATGGTTCACGTCTTTAGTATCTCTGATTGGTGGTGGTAAGTACGTCGGTCCATGAGATGCATGATTATTACCGTGGATATCTTTATGATGAGTATTGTGACCAATTTGTTGGATCAGGCCTTCGGGTACTGGTTCCCGGAATTTGATCGGGTGTCTTGGGGTAATGCCCCCAGAGTGGCCTCCTCCTGTCAAGGATCCATAAGGCAGAGGGAGGTTTGATGATGGGGGTCTTGGAGGAGCTCCGTATTGACTTCCTGGAGGGACACCGTATACTCCTGAAGGTGGAATCAGCCCTTTGGCTCCTTGTTGTCTTATTGATGATGGATAGTGACCATTTGAAAGGGAATCCAAAGGCGGTGCTCCATAACTGTCAGATGGGATAGCTTGGATAAACGACAAACCGGAGTCATGGTTCGGTAAGTTCTGATTTTCAGTATAATGAGCCTCAAAGACCGTTTTAGATTGATCTATGTCGTTTGATTCTCCACCTACAAGAGCTTTCAAGTCTATATCGGCTAGGGCATCATGATGGACGCTGGAGTATCCTGAAGATACCTGAGCTCCAAAGAAAGATTGTCCATGATCTATATTTGGCAAGGGTTGGTCCAGATTTAGATGGATTTCCTGGACTGGGGGTGGTGGACCGTATTGATCTCCGATATGCTGTTCCACATGACCACCGATAGGGCGTGATACTCCGGGAATGGGTTTCCATCCGTCGTAAAGTACATGAGGAGGTGTCGGAGGAGCAGGAATTCCAGGGTGTGGTGGCCTAGGGTTTGGATCTGGTTGGGGTGGACCATAGTGCACATTGCTGACTTGATGGACAACGACTTGATCGTTGGGTCCTATAGGTCCTAAAGCATGACCTGGTGGACCATAGGTATCAGCAGGGATAGGGAAGTTTGGTTTCAAGTCTAATGGAAGATTTGGTAATGGTGTGCCGTAGATGGGGGCTGGAAGATTAAGTCCAATATCAATGTTGTTATCAAAACCATGGCTAGGTAGTACAGGCGGCAAAGACAGAGGAATAGGTGGTACACTCAGCGGTGTTCCATAAGATACTTTGGGTGGCCCATAAATCGGTTTAGGCGGTCCGTAACTTGGTTTCGGTGCACCATAAATTGGTTTCGGGAAACTGATCTTTGGTGGTTTGAAAGGTGCTCCATATATTGGTTTTGGAAGATTTTGTTTGGGTGGACCGTAGAGTTTCTTGGGTGGCCCGTAAACTGGTTTGGGTGGACCGTAACTTTGTTTTGGTGGCCCGTAACTTTGTTTAGGTGGCCCGTAAAGTTTTGCTGGTGGCCCGTAAACAGGTTTCGGTTTGATAACGGGTGGTGGCGGGCCTTCGTAGTTGTGACTAGGGAAGACCACTGGTGCGGGGGGCCCGTAAGCTCCTGCCGGCGTTTGGAAACTTTGGAAGATGTTGTTGTTGATTTCTGGTACTCCGTAGATGGGGGCTGGTTGCGGAAGATCTGGAACGGTGATAATTTTTGTGTTACTATAGTTTTATGCAATGGAGGGCCCAAAAAAATTAACAGATGGTATCTGACAAGAGCTCGCCAGCTCGCCTTACAAGATGG